TAATAAGGGACGTGTATCCTTAAGAGTAAAACCTCACAACTTTATTGAATATTTGCATGCATTACACATACCCCATGGTGAGGTATTTATTCACAAAGTTAGTTAGCCAACATGGCACAACTACATAACCCAATGTAACCCCTCATTACACGTATATAGCAACCTCTATTACACGTATATATCAGCAACTAGCATTTTTATTGTACATTGTCCAAGGCCCACGATGGACACCCTTTCATCCTCACACTTTTCTCCCTAACTACTCTATCTGTAACATGATGCCTCAATATCTTATCAAATTTCTTAGACATTTTCAAAATCAAATAAAATTGATAATATATGCCTCCAACCTATATTCACAAGAACCAAAAATATCACACCCTCAATTGAAATTAACTTGACATTACATATAGAAAGATAAGAATTTCCTTGAAATCTTGGTTAGAACAAGGCTTACATTCAAATTAAACTAGTTTCTTACACAAATATATAAAAATGATAAGTATCCAATTTATTATGTATTAAGGGTTAATATGAGCATAAAATTGATTTAAAAATAATTAAAAGGTATGAGAATTATAAATAAAGTGTTATTTTATTCTCAGCAATATTTTCATAAAAATTCTTATATTTTGCAGTAATTTTCAGCTCAATAAAAAGATAAATTGGAGAGCTTAAGTGGATTTGTTTTTCTGAATCATATAATTGATTGAAAATCTTATTGAAGATTCTCTTGAATATTTTTAAGGAAATTGTTTCCTTTAAATATAAAACAGAAGATTTTAAAGATTTGGTTGGAGATTATAGTAAAGATTCCATTGAAGATATTATGGGAAATTAAAAGATATGATTTCATCACTATAAAAATGTGGCACATTCAGAAAGAAGGGAGCTTTTGATAGTTAGAGCTTTTGAACATTTAAGAAGAGCAAATCCTACTTTAGAGAGAGAAACACATTTTTCATGCTTTGGAGCATCGAGAGCGGTTTGAATTCAAGAACAAGCTGGGGGTTTTGAGAATTCTTCACGCCATCACACCCATAGAGTTTGGGGGATTTTCTTTACTTTCTCTTGTCTTTGATTTCGCTATGTTAGGCTAGATTTTTATGTAGTTAAAAGTAGATGGAACCCAATTGAATTATTATGTTTATGGATTAAATTGTCTCTGTATTTTTTCTTTTTATAATTGAATGAATTTATCAATGTTTAGTGCTTTCTATGAGTTTTCTCCTTGTAAATTGATTTAGGAAAATTGTATGATAATAGGGATGTTGGTGCATGAACCCTGATTTGATAAATTTATCATAATCCTTGTGATCTAAGGATAGACTTAGGGTAATTATGCAATCTTTAGATTCTTGTTGTTAATGCATGTTTTCTTGGGAAACAACCGGTGAACTAGGATTCTTTCAAGATTACATAGAATTAAGGTAACAAGGGATTGGACCTTAATTACTTTAGAGGAATCGATTGGCATTATATTAAGGGCGGTTATTTGATTGTTTAATCCATCACACAAGAAGATATTGGGGGAATCAAAACCTTGACTATGCTCTTTCTTGATTTTCAAAACCAAATTCTTTTTCTTTGCTTGCTTTAAATTATGGATTTGTATGTTCTTGATTTTCTTTCTTTTCATCTCAAATTCGATTGTCCAACTAAATCGTTGTTAGCGAACTAGTGCTTGAAAACCAATCATCGTGGGAACGATCTCATACTCAGTACACTATTATTACTTTTTTGGCCGGTGCACTTGTCGAAGCTGCAACAAGTTTTTTGCGCCAAAAATTATTACCAAGTGAGCTTTAAGGCGATCCACTTGACCATCAGGACCAACCTTAACAGAATAAATCCAGCAGTAGCCAACAACAAAATTTCTAGACGCGAGAAGGACCAGATCCCAAGTACCATTTTGATGAAGGGCACTCATTTCAAACATTTGTTAGCAATATTCTGAGCCATAAGAAATTAAGGAAAAAGGGAATAATTAGAAGAAGCCCATATCTGAGCCCAAAACTCCACTTATAAATAGATGCCTAGATTAACCAAACCAAATCACTTCCAATCCTCGACATTTCTCTTCTTCTCCTCTTCTCATCTGCTACTCTTTCTTCTTACTTCAAATTTTATATTTTTATTTTATTTTATTATTATATTTCTTTAGCTACCAACCGGGCTTCTCTCTTCCCAAATCGCTTTTCTTCTTGAAGTTAGCAAACACGGAGACCAGGTGTTCCTAGTTCTTAGAAATAGGTTAATTATATGATTGAGAACATCATTTGGTTTAATTTTTGGAACAGTGACAAAAATGCCAAGTTTTGCCAAATATTATGTGTGGCAAGAACATCATTGGGTTAATTATATGAATATTATTGAGAACATCATTGGGTTTATTCATACATCATTGGGTTTAATTATTGAGAATATTATGTGTGGTTGTAATTAATTAATAGTAATCTTAATCCCTAGGTAATCGTAGGTTATCTTTTATATGAAATTCGGGTGTAATCATTATCTTTAGGTAGTAATATATATTTGTTTTATTTAATCTTAACCCTAGAAAATAATAGGAATATTTGTAAAAATAATTATATTATTTGGGAACTTTATTGGGTTTTAATTCCTATGGAAAATTGATTATGTGCAATATGGTTGGTAAAAATCTTAATACTTTGATGGTAAAAATTAACTATGTGCGATATATATATGCAATATGAGTCTTCTTGAATAAATTATGATACCCTTGAGTAATCTGATATAGAGGATATATTAAAGAAGAAACTTTCTAAATAAGGATTGAATGTTTCTGATTATGTATAAATAAATTAATAGTGGGAGAATAGCTTTGGGATGATACCTCCTAAAGTGATGAACACAACTTTTAGGCTTTATGCCTCGATATTTATTTGATGTGAAAAGATATTATCCGTTCTTCTCAAAGTGGTATCTGGCAGGATATCCGGGATACTAGAAGCAACTTTAGGAAGAGGTGTGCATACTAGGAAGACATGTTTTGATAATGGCCAATTTTGTTTATATGTGACCGTCAGGATATCCGGCTCTCATGGTAGATTGGCAGGATCTCTAGGTCTACCATGATTCTGTTCCTACTAAATGAACTTAAGATAATAAATAATATTTGATTCAATATTGATATTTAATTATGTGATTATTATATTTGAATTATATAAATTATGTTTTGATTAGGATTACCAGCTTAGCTGACTGTTTGTGTTTGTCTTTATTTGGATGCAATGATCCTTCGGGGGAGCATATTTTTAGTAAGTCAGGTTGCAAAGAATGGGGCTAGCAGTGGGCAGTGAAGATAACAACTCAGAGATTTATAGCTAGCTCGATATTTCACATATTTTTATTTATGCATAAGACATGTTTCTTTTGGGTTAAAATTTAGTTTTTGGTTTTATTTTTAATAAAATAAAGCTAGTCTTGCACTTGTCTCTGTACAGGTGCGGTGGTAACATTTCCCTAAATCAATTTTAGATTAGCTTCCGCAGTATTTATGAGATCAAATAAAAATAATTATATGCAAATTTTGGCAATTATATAATTATAAGTATATTTTAAAATTGTTAGAAATTTGAGGGTGTCACACCGAGGGAGGAGATGCAGTCGGATGTGAGCCCATAAAAATATCTGGAGAACCATGTTGTAACTCATCAAGAGAAGAGATGAATGAAAGAGAGTCAGAAACATGGACTAGTAAAGGCGGAAGGTATTCAAAGGTGTCTGCAGGGAGAAATGACTGAACAGAATCAGTGTCCATAAGAGTAGTATAAGAGCCCAAAAAAGGAACTGATTCAAAAAAAAAGAAACATCTGCCGAGATAAAGTATCAACGTAAAGTCAGAGAGTAGCAACGATAACCCTTTTGAGACCGAGGATAACCCAGAAAAACACATTGATTAGACTTGGGAGCTAGTTAATCCAAGCCTGAACCGAGATGGTGAACAAAACATGTAGAACCAAACACATGTGGGGTTAGAGGATATAAAACTTGATGGGGAAACAAAATAGAGTGAGGTACCTGGTGATGAAGAACAGATGAGAGCATCGATTAATAAGATAGCATGCAGTGAGAACAACTTCACCCTAGAATTTATAGGGAACATTGTCATCAATTAACAAAGCACGAGTAGTCTCAAAAAATGGCAGTTCTTGCGCTCGGCTAAACCATTTTGTTGGGGTGTATAAGGGCAAGATGTTTGATGAAGAATGACATGAGATGAAAAAAATTGTTGAAACTGATTAGATGAATACTCACATGCATTATCACTATGAAAAGTACGAATAGGAATACCAAACTGAATTTTTATTTCATTAAAAAATAACTGAAAAACAGAAAAATAACTCAGAACGATTTTTCATTAAAAATAACCAAGTACATATGGAATAATCATCAATAAAAGTGACAAAATACTTAAACCGTAAAGTAGAAGAATGACGACTTGGTCCCCAATATCAGAATGGACCATAGATAAAGGAGATAAAGCTTGACAACTAAGACAGCTTGGGAACGTACTACGAGTATGTTTCCCAAACTGACAAGACTCACAATTTAAACTAGAAAGAGACAATAAATGTGGAACCATCTTTCGAAGCTTGACAAGACTTGGATGACCCAAAAGAGCATGTATAATGAGAGGAGAATCCACGTTGGAGCAGGCTGAAGAAGAAGAAGGAAACAATTGATATAGGCCATGAGACTCGCATCTTTGGTAATATCCTTCCCTTAACTACGATCCTAGAAGATGACAGATGTAACACCCCGTGTATACTCGGAATATTAACATTACATCGTATTAAACGGTGCTTAATTAAAAATTGCGGAATATTCTTTTTCTTTTCAATTATGACGTCATTATCAATTACCAACTTGATTACTTAATCAATTTCATAAAATATCGCCTGTATGTAAATTGCAATAAGACATCTACTGAAATACCTCAATATATAAATAAAGTGTGTATCTAAATCACGGTATTACATCTCGTAATCCGGACAATATCCTGATACATTATTACAACTCCAAAAGACTCAAAACATAAACAAGACATAACAATACTATGTGTCATGGACAATCCCCATGCTCACCAAATAAACATAGTAAACAACAAGTCTCAACATAAAACTCCAAAGCATAAACTGAAGCTATAAGCATAAAAGCAGCATACAAATCCAGCATCCAATCATGGCAGCATAATATAACAGCAATCTAACTCAGCTCCGGCCTCCTGCCGCCTGAGGTCTCAACATTACCTGACCCTGAAATAAGCATTCCCCAAACGTGGGGTGAGATCTCTAAACTATAAATCTCAGTAAGACAAGGGGTCCTCAAGGATCTTCCACCCCAAGCTCACTTACATGTGCAATATAAGTTCAAAAAGCATTTATATCATTATCAGTTCCAAAACTATGTAGTGCAACAGATATCTATGGCATGTGTGTAATCACTATCTACTGGCCAGAGAAATGTAGGAATACGTCTATTCCCTACATGTAGTACAAGGAACACCGCTTGCACCTCACCCACAGCCTCACCCTATTGTATGTTCTACATACTCAGGCTTACCGTATAGGTGGAACACCTCCATGCATATCAACAAGGCACTAACATACAATAGCTCAACAGCATTTCCAAAACATCAAAAGTATGTAACACAGCATGCATATACCATATCCCCATGGAACATGGTGGAACCACAACATGGCTAAACCGAGGACACGAAAGCTTACCTGTACCCGTATGCCCCTCCGACTCGAACTCGGTATCACAAGGGTCCACACCACAAATAGAATCCAATGCACTCACAGATCTGGTTCAATGACCATCATAGTATCAATATACATATTCTAAAATTCCAAGGAAATCGGATATTATTTTCTTTTTCATTTCGAACCAGAGATCCTTTTTAAAACATACCATTTAACTTATTTAATTTTAGATCATTATTATTTTATATATATATATATATATATATATATATATATATATATATATATATAACCACAAAATATATATTTATATATATATATATATATATATATATATATATATATATATATATAACGTCCCCTGTAACAATCATATAGGCATAAGCATAAGCATGCCTTTTGTTTATTAGCTTTCATTGCCTTTTCTTTATTAGCTTTCGTACTTCCGTTTCATTCACAGCTTTCGTTGTAACAATGTATAAGCATAAGCATGCCTTTTCTTTATTAGCTTTTGACTATATATATATATATATATATATATATATATATATATATATGTATATGTATTAAACTAATGCTTTCAAAGACCCATTTCTAAAATATGCTTTCTTTCAAGTTGGACCAAAGCCTGACCGATTGCTACAAAAGATTCAGACTTTCAATTTAAAAACTCACGCAACCGGAAGCAAATAGAAAAAGGTAGCGCACAGTGAAGCTATTGTAACAGTAACATATAACAAATATTATACTCAAAATTAAGGATTCATAAAGGGATAATTAAGTTTACCTGGGTTCTTTTTAGAACAGAAAAATGAAAACTTGAGAGGTTTAGAAAGCACTCAAATCTTCAACAAAGGGTTCTCCTTCAACACAACTAAAGCTTTAATGGATGGGTGGTGTTTCAATAGAAGAGAGGAAGAAAAAAATGGAAACTTTAGAGAAGAAGGCTAGGACTCCAAGAAACTCTAAAGAGAAGCCACACTCAGCCGCTGAGTTTATTTCAAAAAACACACCTTGGGTTTTGTGCCCAACTATTGTATTTATAGGCCACTTAAGGGTTAAAACACACAGTATTAGCTTTAATTGCTACGCTTAGCATTTTAATCCCAAACTCTGGATTCATAACCTACTCAATTTTACAAGAATTTTCATATTTTTATTATATTTTTCTGAGCACCTTTCCGGTACGTGCTTTTCATAGCCAGTATCAGTTTCTGGCATCAGTTCTCATTATTTGGACTTGAAACTCATTTTGCAAGTCCTATATATTATTCTAGTAATTATCATGCACTTACATTAATTTTCCGGGATACTTTTTCGGTACGCATTTATACCGACTAGCAGAACCGGTATCTGCACTTTTCTTCCGAAAAGCGACTTTCACCATTCTTAATCACTTACCAAAATTATTAAAGCCTCTTAATAAATATTAGGGTCAATTATGGAATCATTTCCTATTTTTACATAATTAATTAATTAAATACCTTAATTAACGGTGCAGGTTCTTACAACAGAGGTTTTAGTAAAGGAAATAACCAATCAATGGATTTTGTCAAACGACTAATAGAAAGTAAGTTAAAAGGAGAATCTGGAACATCAAGAACATGGTCCAAAGATAAATGAGGTAAAAGAAGAATCATGTTGATCCCACGGGATTAGACCAGAAACCCATTTGCTATAATAATAATAGGAAATGAACCAGTGGTACAATGAGTAAGGACTTATTACCGTAAATGTGATCAGAAGTCCCACAACCAAGAGTCCAAAGGCCTAGAGAGAGTAATGTAACACCCCGTGTGCACCCGATGTATTATCATACAATCGTAATGGCGTAGCTAAATTAAATGCGGAAGCTAACTTTTTCTTTTCAATTATGATGTCATTATTATTAACCGAGTTGATTACTTAATCCTTTTTTCAAAATATTTTATGTATGTAAATTGCAATAAATAACTAACTGGAATACCTCATATATAAATGTGTATCTAGTCACGGAACCACAACACGTAGTCCGGACAAAATCCTGATTCATTAAACAACACGAGTCTAAAAAAACAAAGCATAATCAATGTGGCATGGACAATCCTCATGCTCACAAAATAAGGTAACAAAGCCCAACATAGTCTAAACTCAAACAAAAACATAATGGCAATAAATCATGGTAAACAGCCAGGCATAAAAGCACAACATCATATATCTTAACTCAGCTTCGGCCTCCTGCCGCCAGAGGTATCAACCCCCAAGGTACCTGAACCTGAAAATGTGTCCCAAACGTGGGGTGAGATCTCTAAAAAGAAATCTCAGTAAGACAAGGGCTCCTTAAGGACTCTTCCGCCCCAAGCTCACTTACAAGTATATAATAAGTTCAAAAAGCTAAGTACAATGCATGAACATGTTGAAACAATATAATAATGACTATATATCCAAATACTCCAAAAGTCATGTACCACAGTTCATATCTCATGTGATGTATGCAAGTGCGGTTCAACTGGTCAGGGAACAAGATAGGATTTATGCACGTCTACGACCTATCTAAACATAAGGGTCGCAGCCTTATGCCTTACACACCAGGGTCGCAGCCTGATCATGTAAGTAATCAACATCACATCCATACATTACATCAACAGTTAAATCAACATATCTCAGGCATATATCAATACATATTTCATCTTTCTTAAAAGTATACATGCATATAAACCACCCTCCCATGGAGGTCGGTGGAACAAGCAACAGATCAATCCGAGGACACGAGTGCTTACCTGTCAAGCTAAACCCTCCCTCACGACTCGATGTCCAAAGGATCACAAGTAATAATAGTGTCCAGCAAGGTTATAAATCTGTTTTCATAACATTCATACTATCAATAAACATATCATTGTTTTTCAAATTTAAAAGGAACATTATTTTTTTTTCGTTCCGCTTACTGCAGGCTCTTTCCAAAGCCACAAGCACTAAACTGTCTTTACCATTTTCAAGACTAAAATTTCATATCTTTACCAAATATTCTAATATTTTCTATATTAAACTAGACATCCTAAGCTTTCCAACGATATACTTTATGTCTCAATCGGACTTATATAACTCCGGTTATGTTTTTCGCAAGGTGACTGCTGCAAACTGAATTTCTAGCAACCAAGTCGCGATTTCAAACTACCACTGCGACCAATCCACTTATCCAATGACTATGAAATTTTATAGGATTGTATTCCTATGTGTTAGCTTAACATAGGTTCAAACCTCACTCAACTTGGAGATATGTAGCTCGAGCTATCGCAATTTTACTAAACTAGGTCGTTGTTGTCACATTTGCACTACGTAATCGATTACCAAACAATGGGTAATCGATTACTCAACATGGTAACCGATTACCAAAACCGTGTAATCGATTACTGCGCATGGTAACCGATTACCAACAAAAATTAAGCGATTACCACGTGGGCAGAACAGAATTCTGCAGAATGTTTCTGCATAATCCGAAGTGGTAATGGTTTCTCATGATCCAAGGTTCGGTTTTTCATCAAAACAGATATTCCAAAGCATTAAACATGCATAGATTAACAACTTTTACCTTGATTAACCAAAGTTCCCTCATTTATTGACTTAAACAAGCTAAAACCATGGTTTTCAAGAGGAATGATCATGGTATACCTATGGGGGCTCAAACACAGCAGAACAATGTGCTCTTAGAGCTCTCAGATCTGTCCCAAGAAGTCAGATTACACAAGCCACGAATTGGTGACCAAAGCTTGGTCCTTTCTCTACCAAAATGGCACCTTGAAGCTTCAAATGCTAAGTAAATAGCCTCCTCCCCAAGAACTCAGAACACAGCCCTCGCACACTCAAGAAAAGAGGCTACCAAACTCAGAAATGCCAAGACTTCCACCCTCCCAAGGCTAGAGCACACTCATACAAGGAACTTTTGGGAAGAAAGCAAGAGAAAAGGTAGTCTCTTTGTGCTTCAATGGAGGGAAGAAGGTGGAGGAGGGTGGCTGCCACTCAAAAACTCAGAAAACCAACGTAAAGGGGTGGGAATTCTGACCTAGGGCCTTATGCCCATGTATTTATAGGTGCACTTAAGTTTAATCCCACTGTATTAGGACCAATAGCTACGCTTATCATTTTAATCTCAAACTTCATATTCTCAACCTAGCCATTTTTCTATGATTTTTCATATTTTTATTTTATTTTTTGCAGCACTTTTCCGGTACGTATTTTAACGCTGTCGCTATTAGTTTCGACACTTATTCTCATTATTTTGACTCTAAACTTGACATACTAGTCCTAGATATTATTCTAGTAATATATACATACTTTTTATTATATTTCGGGATACTTCATTGGTACGCATTTATATCGTGAAGCAGAACCAGTATCTGCACTTTTCGTCAGAAAGGCGACTTTCAACATTATTAAGTCCTTATATTAATTATCCAAGTCTTCTCATAATTATTCTAGGTCAATTATGGAATTATTTCATAAATTCATATTTAATTACTTAAATTCCTAATTTAACGGTGCGGGTTTTTACATGTAACTGAGAGGTCGCAGTAAAAAAATTACGAGTGGAAATAATGGATGCAGTAGGACCAGATGCTTGCTTCTCGGACCACCAAGTCACGAATTCATTAAGAAGAGCGGCAGAAGGTTGCGCAACAGAAGGTAATCCTGGAGAAGGAGCAATAGCCTAAGCCTGAGCAACATAAGCATTTCAAGGAGGCTTAAATGGAATCCTAAGCAAGGTAGACATCACATAATCCAGTGCAGGAACTATAGCAGACCCCAAAATTTGATCCCGATTGGCAGACAAATGGGAAGGTAAACCATATAAAATGAACAACATAAAAAGGGTATTGCGTTGTTATTGCTCCTTAGTAACATCACCAGTAAGGGGCAGAAGTACAATAAGATCATGAAGCAAATTCTGAGCTTTCCTCAAATACTCAGACATAGGACAATTGAAATTCCGAGGGGCAAAGGTAGTTATCAATTTCTGACACACACCATAGAGTCATTGTGTATCGTTGGTGTACAATGCCTTTGCCTGACTCCAAATAGCTTCACAGGTATTGGCAAGTCAAAAAATCTGCTTAATTGAAGGATGAAAAGTTGCTTGAATGAGACTGCACAACTGAGCATCAATCATCTTCCATCGTGTGCGTTCATTAGCCGCGATAAAGTCAGCCTTAGCAGTGAGATGGGATGTATAATATTGCCCATCCTACCAAAATCAAACATCTGACGACCAAGAATTATAGTTCGACCCATCCAATTTATCCACACTCAGCGGAGCAAGGATATAATTGAAAAAAATAGTAGACTCCGACTTGGGGGCAGTCGGAGACCCAGAAATAGAATAGATAAGGGAATCTATAATCACCCAACAAAAGAAAGATCAGAAAAATCAGAAAGACATATCACAAAACTAACCGATAGGAGGGATCTTTGCGTAAAAAAAATAATGTCAAAACACCAAAATAGAACCAGATCCAGAATCGTCATGGTGAGACGAGAAGAACGCCATGATGGGCCGAAAATCTGTGCCCATCTAAGCCCATTTTGATGGCAAAATACCATTCGTTCCCTCACCTGATGAGCAACTTCAGCACTAAAAACACATGTTTTGTATCTTTATGACAAAAAGACAGTGGGGAACGGAAGGTGACGTAATTCTTGGAATATATATAAAAAGGGGAATGGATTTGGGGCATTAAATACACCTGCTTCCCTCACTCAATCTTTCTGACCACTTTTCAGGAAATGGTGAAAAGAAATTTCCAATTAAGCACAAGTGGGCAACACTCAACCAAGGAGAAAGGTGCACAGCAGGGAATAAAAGGCTCCTATTGACCGAAAAAGAAAGCAAGGCGTGGGAGGTTCAGAAGTAAAGACAAATCTTTGCAAAAATTGTCCCATCCAGCCACGTGCGCCCCACAAAGCACTGTTCACACCGCCCCTTTCATGCAGTCAAGAAACCAACTCCAAGGAATTTACAAGT